TCAAGCCTACCTAATAACCACCACCACCACCACCACCCCAGGAGAAAAGCAACAGGGGTTCCCCGCACCCTTTCCCTCTCCCAATCCTGCTCACCGCATCTCCCTCCTGCCCGCCCATTCGAGACCTCCTCTCCATAGGTCCTTGGTAGAGGGGTGCTAGAGGGTCAACTGGCATCCCTTCTATCCCTGGCTGTCTCAAGTTTCGGGCGCTGAGGACTGACTGGACATCCTAGATCCTTATTCGGGGTTGGTTGGTAAACGGTTAAAGCCAAACTCCAGAGGGATGGAATAGGGTGAAAAGACTCGAGCTAAGATTGAAGAAACTGGAACCCTTTCCCTCCCCTACAAGAACAGTCCCAGGGAGCACTGAGGCGCATACAATGTCCTAGGCTAGAGGTCGAGGACACCTGAGTTCTAATTATTTTATTTGTTTACTTTGGTCTTTTTAAAACAGGGTCTCCCAGCTGGCCTGGAACTCACTATGTAGACTATGCTGGCCTTGAACTCTAGAGATCTCCACCTGCTTCTGCCTCCCCAGTGCCGGGATTAAAGGGATGTGCCACCACGCCCCGCCTAATTCTTGATTTTAATGAGTTGTGCGACCCTGGGCAAGTACCTTCCTCTCGCTGAGCTTTCACTTCCTCCTTTATCTGTGTTTCCAGAAAGTTGACTAGACAGTTTGTAAGGCTCTGATCAGCGAGGGTAGTAAAGTCTCAGACCACAGGCAAGGCTGAATGACCAGGGCACCTGAGCCCGCCTCACAGTCCACCCCACTGCTGCTGTTCCTACATTCCCTAGGACAGACAAGACACTGACATTTACTCCTATGTGCACTTCTGAATACATCCATTTACCAAACAAGTATTAGGCACCTACTGTGTGCCCTGTACAGAAATAGAATACAATTTCCTACCCTCAGGAAGCATAGTCTAATGGGGTGGGAAAGACATGCAAAGGTTATGGTTTGTCATGGTTAATCTGTGCATAGTCACTGTGAGATTCTACTGTTACTGGGGTCTTTGACAAACAGTAACTGTTCTCCTTACCCACAGGGAACCAAGGCATACAGAGGGCAAGTGACTCAATGGGTCACCTGCCAGCATCCATACAAACAGCTCTAGAATTCAGACCTTTCCCATTCAAAAGTTCATGGAGGGAGGTGGCACATCCCTGAGGCTAGAGGATCAATACTTTGAAGCCAGTCTGGACTACATACCAAGATACAGTCAAAGAAAAGGAGGTAGGGGTAGGGACTGGAGAGATGGCTCAGCAGTTAAGAGCACTGGGGGCTGCTCTTGCAGAGAACCCTGGCTCAATTCCCAGCACCCACATGATGGCTAACAACTGTAACTCCCATTCTAGAGGATTCAACACCCTCTTCTGACCTCCATGAGCAGGTATGCTTACATTCATACAGGCAATACACTCATACACATAAAATAATAATAATTACTAAAATATTTCAAAAAGGAAAGGAGGTAGACTGAGGCAGTGCTCCCCTGCCAAAAATCCATAGGGGACATTTGGAAGAGGAAGTGACTTTGAGGCAGAGCTTTGGTATCTGCTCTCTGGGGATAGAATTTAAGCACACTCAGATAGCCAGGATGTTCCCTTACCTCAGGAGCAGGAGAACCATTGCCTCTATCCTTACTCCTGGTCTTGCTTCCATCTTCCTACTCCTCCCTTTCCAAGAGAGGCCAAGTGGCTTTCTGTCCACCTGTTTGAACCCTCTTCAGGAGGAATCCGTTCTTTCCCAAAACAGGGTTTGGTCTCCAAAAGGGAGAACTCCACATAGGAAGAATCTCTTCTGGCAGCTCATTCCAGTAGTTCCTGCCCACACATTTTGGGAAGCCTGTCTCACAGTCAACTCCAGCCCCTCATTTTGGTTTCAACCTGCCCCACCATGTTCATACAGACCGAGAACAAAGGTCCTACCAACCACTGGTCTTTCCTAACCTCCCTTGTGTGCTCATTACACTTTCCATTTAGTTATGATCTTCCTCCTGATGCCCATCCACTGTCTCTACCTCAGGAAGAGGGACAACTCTACTCTCTTTAGCTAACTCCACTCACAAGAGGTCAAAAACCACCTCTACCTTCTCCATTCACACACAGTACCCTATTCCCTGGAAGCTCCAGGAAAAGGGAGATGAAGGGAGGAGGCAGTGGCAGGAGTTATCTGACTGCCTGGTCACCATGGAAACTGGACCTGTTTCTTTGAAGATAAGCCTGGCTCAGTGGGTGGAGGTGGAGAGTGGGGGCATCCCAAAGAGAGCTAAGGAACACCATCAGAGCAAGAAGGCCCCCAAGGGCCCTACCTGGGAGAGGGCTGTTGCTAAGGAAAAAAGTCAGAGCCTGACCACACTACAGCCTGAGTCAAAGTTCCTAGGCTATCCTTCCAGATAGCACTGCCATTGGGGTCCTTCTCCCTATTCTTGGGGGTAACAGAAGGGCTTCCTGTCAGAGTATAGGTGCTGTGGCTGGTTTAGTGGGTGGCTCAATGCTGACCTCATGTGGTCAAGAAAGGGGCTTCCATATACCTGGTAGGGCTCAGGACCAGACATCTAGCTGGATTGAGATAGTCATCCTTAAATTTGGTCTCTATCTGAATTAGAAAGGTGGTCTCTGCATCCACCTGAGTTCTGTATCCTTTCAGAGGGCTCAGGTACCCCCACCTAAGAGGTTTAGATCTTGACAAGGGTTTCATTGAAGAAAAATTTATAAAAGGTTTAGATTAGGTCAGAAGAACTCAGCTCTGTATTTTCTGACTGGGTTCTTGGGCAAGTCAGCTGACTTCTCTAGATCTCAGTTTCCCATCATGATGTCAGGTTTTGAATCTGCAGCTTATACTTTTGTTCTAGATCTTAAGAATGGGAAAGAAAACATGGGTGAAGTAGCACACACCTTTAATCCCAGCACTTGGGAGGCAGAGACAGGAGGATCTCTGTGAGTTCCAGGCCAGCTTGGTCTACATAGCAGACTACAGACCAGCCAGGGCTTCATAGTGAGACCCTGTCTCAAAAAAAAAAAAAGAAAAAGAAAAAAACAAACAAACAAACAAAAAATAATAGGCGAGAGGAGGCAGAGAATTTCTCTGAGAACATACTGACTCCAAAAGAAAGTATCTAGGATTTGTTTTGTTTTGTTTGCTTGCTTTGCTTGGAGGTGGGAGTATTTGCTTTGCTTTTTAGTGCTAGGTATCAAGCTCATGGTCATGCACTTGCTATGCAAGCATTTTATCACTGTGCTACACCCCAAGTATGCCCAAAGGAAGGAGATGCCTCAGTTTCCTTCACTTTCCCCTCATGGTTCCTCCCTGCCATATGCTTAGCACATTCTGTCCTCTCTGGTCCTCCAGTGGGATGGAGAATATTGGGTTTATGAGATGATGACACTCTACTCACTTCCCCTCTTCCCTTCCCATTTCCAGCTCAAATTGAACCAAATTTCTCTATCCCTCTCCCCACTGTGTAGCTGGCCCCACTGTGTGGCTCCCACAACACCCTGTTCCCATTCCTGTCTTACCCCAACCATTCTAAGTTGTAATTGCCAAAAGCCTTTAGAAGGCAGAATCTTGGAGTTTGGTGGTGGTGGTGGTAGTGATGGTGGCTGTTGGTTATTACTGTGATCACTGGTTTATCTCTCAACTCAGAGAATAATATTGTGCATATAGGAGAAGCTCCATATGTGTCTGCCAGTGAGTAAATGGTCAGATGAATGAAATGTGGTTCTAGGGGAAAGGGCAGGGGAAAGTGCTTAGTAGCTATCTGCTCACCCCCAGCTTCCTTTCCCCTATGCCAGAGATGTAAAGGAAGCTGCTCCCCTGGTTGGGGATGACCATCTAAGGGCATTGCTAGCTCAAGATAGATGGCACTTGGAATCTGAATGAGCAGTGTGAGGCCCCAACTTGGAGCTCACCTGTGGATGGTGATCTTCCAAACCCTGAATATGCTCAAGGAAAGCAGGATCAAGGAAAGAAAAATGCTTCAGCTAGGGCTGGAGCTGGAGTGGAGACTTCAACAGTGTGTAGGGGGGCATCTCCATCCTGCCCCCCCATGTGGAACTAAACTTCTCTGACCATTGTGGGTAACCAGATACTGTACCCACCCAGGGCCAGTGCACCATTCTGTGAGGAAGAAGAAACCCCATGACCACCATGACCACCATGACTTACTTGTTAGACAAGTCTGTCTGAGAAAACCCACTTCCCCGAATCACATTCTCATGTCCAGTTCTGTGATCTGGGGAGCTGACACAAGAGACTTTCTATAAGACTCAAAGGAAGAGTCGTTCCTCTAAAGATAATGGATGGCCCCCTTCCTACCCATACCCCTGGGCATATAGGGAAAGATGAAAAGGCAAGGAAATTTGATAAAAGTTGGCAAAGGACAGGAAGCAAGCCTTTCCCATCCCACCACCTACAGTAGTCCCCACAAAGCACCCAGCTTGTGCAGAAAATCACCTTTTAAACCATCTAATGGATAAATGAACACAGGGAAGTAAAAGAAGGAACGAATGAATGCATAGAATCCACGAATAAAATGAAAAGGAAGTGGAGGAGTGAATGAATGAATGAATGAATGAATGAAATAATTAGCGAAGGGGGGCTGGAGAGTTGGCTCAGCGGTTAAGAGCACTGACCGCTCTTGCAGAGGACCCGGGTTCGATTCCCAGCACCCACATGGCGGCTACAAACCGTCCTTAACTCTAGTTCCAGGGGAATCCGAAACCCTCTTCTGACCTCCGCGGCTCTGCACGACACGGGTGCACTCACATACAAGCAGGTAATACACTCATGCACATAAAATAAAAATAATAAATAAATTAAAAAAAAAAAAATCAGCGGAGTCAATAAAGATCCCTAACCTAGAGACTCACAGCCTACGCAGAAAGCAGAAAGGGGGATTCCGGAGGGGCGGGGCTCTGTCCGGAAGCTCCTGTCGGGGGCGTGGCCACTAGGCGTGGCCAGCGGCTGGAAGCCACTTCTTGGGCCCCGGGGGCGGGGCGAGAGGGAGGACTGGACTCGCGACCGCTCAGCTGCCCAGAGTACCCGCCGCGGTGGACCTGGCCGGGGCTCCGGATCTCTCGCGCTTCTGATTCGCCCCTCGCGCCGGCACAACCAGGTAATGGGGCCGCTTGGAGCTGGACGCCAGTTTTGCTAGGTAGACCCGCCAACCCGGAAAGGCACGCAGCGTATCTTCGGAATCGGATCTCGCTGGACTCCGGACCCCGGGCTGGCGCCGCCGGCATGTCGGAGACGCGCAAGGGGCCGGACGAGGCGGACGAGAGCCAGTGCGACTCCGGCATCGAGTCGCTGCGCTCTTTGCGCTCCCTACCCGAGCCCACCGTGGGTCCAGCCTCTGGGCCATCGGAAGCCGACGGCCCACAGCCCTGGACCCATCCTCTCCGGACCCACAGAGAGCCAAGGGAGAAGGAAGATGTGGATGGGGAGCGGGCGGACTCCACCTACGGCTCCTCCTCGCTCACAGAGTCTTTGACCTTGCTGGGGGGCTCGGAAAGGGAAGACACGGCTCCCGGCTCGCAGCTGACCCCGGTGGGGGTGCTGAGCCCTCAGCAGTTGGAAGCGCTCACTTACATCTCTGAAGACGGAGACACGTGAGTAAAGTGACTAGGCTGAGACAGGATGCTCAGTCTGGGCCTCCCCAGGAGCTGCAACTGACCACCACCACCATCATCCAAGAGAATAAAACCCTCAAAAACCCGCCCTGGAAGAGACAGCCCCTCCCTCTATTCCAAATTCCAAACTTAACTCTTAGCCTACATTTAAGCTCTAGCCAGTGCCAGACCACAAGACTAAGGCATCATCTCTCTATTTGGGGAGTGGGCAGAACTAGCTGGGCGCTTACCCAGGCACCTGGAAACCCAGCCAGCATCTTGGAAATCTACCAGTAACCCACCCCTGGGAGGAGAAAATTCCCCCGACCAATCCAGTTTTTGTTTTTCACGTGGGGGTATCCCTGTTTGCTTAACATCTGAGATCCCAGTTTCTGACTCCAGAACACCCTATCTCTAGGAACAAGAGACTTCAGATTACAGGTTGACATTTAAGGCCCAAGAAGCTTGGGTTGGGGAGCACTGCCAGGGTGTCTGGTTTGAACTGGCTCTGAAAGAAGGGTGACTAAACTGAGCACTCTTGTCCCAGTAGACACAGATAGGCAACTGGCTGCCCCAGCTTACTTCCTCCTCTGCTGAGAAAGGGGAAGTGATGGCTAGCATCAGCCTCTTCAACACCCTCTACCTCCTGAGCTCCCCCGGTCCTCCTCACTGTCCTGTCCTGTCTCTTCATTTTCCTTTTCCTCCTCCAGGCCCAGATGGAGTCTGGTAGGGACTGGGCCAGGGGGCAGTTGGACTAAGGCGATCGTATCAGATTAACCAGTTGAAGACTCGGCCTCCAGAAAGACTATCAGAGGAAGGAGTGATTGGGATTTGAGGATGATAAACAGAGTAGGGGACAGCTGGAATTCCAGATCAGAGATGCTGGTATGCAAAGGATACTTCTAACTTGCTTATTGGAGATGCAAAGTGGCCTCAGTGGCCACTGACAAAGATAATCTTGATCTGGGGCTAGAGTGATGGCTCAGCGGTTAAGAGCATTGGCTGCTCTTGCAGAGGACCCAGGTTCAGGTCCCAGCACCCACATGGTAGCTAATAACTGTCCATTACTCCAGTTCCAGGGAATCCAATACCCTCTTTTGGCTTCCCTGGGCATTGCATGCAGGTAGTGTGCTTACCTACATGCAAACAAAGCACTCATTCACATAAAATAAATAGTTAAAAAAAAAAAAAAAAAGATAATCTTGATCCAGTAAATGGGAAACAAGAGACCCTAGCAGGCCTTTTGTGCTCTTTGCTTGGGTCAAAACCCAGAACCCCAAAGTTTTGGGAGCTCCACACAAAACTTCTAACACTGCCCTCATTTGTTACCCTCTCAGTCCCAGCCTTTACCAGGTCTAGTCACAGGAAGGTGCTGTGTGCATGTGGAGAAGAGGAGCATCAGGACTCCCCAACAGGAGTCCCGAAAAGAGGAGGCACTTTCCTCCGTTGAAGGCTGGACTATGGGAAGTGAGGAAGTAGGAAAAGGAAGTAGGAGGAGGGGAGACTGAGGGAGAACAGGAGGTGGCTGCAGGAATGTGACCCAGAGAGCAGGCCCTGGCCGAGGGGATTTCCAGAGTGGTTCCTCCCTCTGTCCCTCCCTCCGTCACTCTCTCCTGGGCCTCACTTGCAGGCTGCCTGCAGCCAAAGCCTGCCCCCCTTCTGCCTAAGTAGCCCCCTCCCCAGCCCAGACAGGCCTTTTAGCCAAGTTGCCCCAAGGCAGCTGTCCAGGCCTAGACTCTCCAGTCCTGGCTTTCATTTTCCCCACCTGATGTGGGGAAAACCCCAAGACTGGAACTTCCTGTCCCAGCTGCCCCTGTTGCCCCCAAGTTACAACTTTTGTCGCCTCCCATCAAACACACATTTTCTGCACTGCATCAAATTCCCCTTGGAGCTGCACCTAGGAGAGGGCTTCTGATCAGGCCCCATCTGGCCTGTACAGACTGAGGAGTGGGTCTCTTGACTCCTAAGGCAGCAGTTCAGGATCCCATACCGGCTTGCTTGTTCTCTTCCCTCCCTTGTAACCCTCCCTTGGAATGTGTGACATTGAGTTGTTTAGGGGGAACCCCACATCTGCTTCCTCCTGTCTGCCCTGTTGTGGGGAGGTAGGGAGATCAGGCCTGGAAACCCCCTCTGTGATCCTCCCAGTAGCTTTCAGTTTGGCTTTGAGCTGCAGCTGGCCTGGCAGGGCCCTGGGGGCAGAAGTGAGCTGGGTGTGGACAGTCTGGACAGGAAGGCCCTTGTCCTGTCAGCACACTGCCCACATGCCCACCCAGCCAAGGCCCTCCTCAGGGCCAACCATGGGAACTTGGAGCTCCTACCTCCAGAATCCTGCATTTTCCGCATCAACCCCTTACTTCCTGGCCCAAACTCTCACTTCCTGCACCTACCCCACTGTGGGTAGCTAGTTAGAGGTCAATGTATTCTTTCTAATCCCAAGACCCCAGCATACCCTCTCTACCCTAGGCACTGACCCCCAGCTCTCTCCTGCGCAGGCTCCTCCACCTAGCTGTGATTCATGAAGCCCCAGCGGTTTTACTGTGTTGCTTGGCTTTGCTGCCCCAGGAAGTCCTGGACATTCAGAACAACCTTTACCAGGTGGGTAGAGAGAGGAGACTATTCCCAGGTACCTGTTTGAGCCCTAGCAACCATCCCCAGCAGCCACACTAGAGGCCTTAGAAAGTCATCTGCCAGATGCAGGGCCAGAAACTGCAACACAGAAATGAGTAAGATACAGTCTCTGCCCACAAGGTGCTCACAGCCTGTGCTGGACAACTCACCAGCACCATTACACAGCACAATGGCAAAAACTGTGATAAAGACTCATGCCAGCCACAATGGGGCCCAATTAGTGTCTTTGTGGAACAGACAGGGAATGCTTAGTACAAGAGGTAACGTCTGAATTGAGCCTTAAAGAAAGGGGTTATCACCAGGCACTTGGGAGGCAGAGGCAGGCAGATCTCTGTGAGTTTGAGGCCAGCCTGGTCTACATAATGAATTCCAGGCCAGCTGGGGCTACAGGGAGATCCTATTTCAAAACGCCCGAAAAAAAGGGAGGTTGTCAGGTACACTGCCCCTGGTGCCTGTCTCTCCTCCCCCTACCCCAGCCCCGGCAACCTAACCCCCTGGGAAAAACACAGGTCTCCCCAGAGGGTGAAGGGCTAGCATCTGCCCCTATATGTCCTTTCTCCAGGGGCTGAGGGGACCTACAAGAAGATTCAGGGACTGTTTCCCTTACCCTGCTCCCAGAATTGGGGTCCCAAGAATTTAGTGGAGAGTGACAAAGAGAAGGGATTAGGAGTAATTCCTTGGAAGGACCAGGACTATGGCCTTTATAATTGCTTTCGGAGAAGGTGCAGGCAGTTTCTGTTGTATCCCCACTCCCCAAGCGTGTTCTTGGAAGTAGGCGCCTGCTACAGTGACCCTATGACCCTGTGACCCTCTGTACCTACAGACAGCGCTCCATCTGGCTGTTCATCTAGACCAGCCAGATGCAGTTCGGGCACTGGTACTGAAGGGGGCCAGCCGAGTACTACAGGACCAACATGGTGACACAGCCCTGCATGTGGCCTGTCAGCGCCAGAATCTGGCCTGTGCGTGCTGCCTGCTCGAGGAGCAGCCAGAGCCAGGCAGAGAACCATCTCACTCTCTGGACCTCCAACTGCAGAACTGGCAAGGTGACCTCCAAACCCGTGGGATGAGGAGGGGATAAAGAACAAGGACCCTAGTCTCAGGGAAGGGAGAGTACTAGACTGTCTGTCAATACTTCAGAGCTTAGCACATAAGCACTAAGTACATCTTTACTAAATGAAGGACTAAGCAAATGATTCGTTTCAGAATTTCCCCAGCACCTGCCATGTACTGAGCAGAAATCTAAATCTTGTCCTTAAGATATTTAATTTAGGCCAGGTATGGTGGCTCATGCCTTTAGTTCCAATATCAGGAGGAGGAGGCAGGTGGAGCTCTGTGAGATCAAGGCTAGCCTGGTCTACAATGCAAGTTCCAGGCCAGCTAGGACTACAGGGAGACACTGTCTTTAAAAATAAAAAAATTAGCCAGGCGTGGTGGTGCACGCCTTTAATCCCAGCACTCAGGAGGCAGAGGCAGGTGGATCTCTGTGAGTTCGAGGCCAACCTGGTCTACATAGCGAGTTCCAGGTTAGCTGGGGCTACAGGGAGACCCTGACTCAAAAAGACCAAAAAAAAAAAAATTAATTTACGGCCTGGAGAGATGGCTCAACAGTTAAAAGCACTGGCTGTTCTTGCAGAGAATGTGGGTTTGAGTCCCAGCATCCTCATGGTGGCTAAAAACTGTCCATAACTCTAATTCCAGGGGATCCGACATCCTCTTTTGACCTCTGCAGGCAACCCATGACATGGGTGCACTTACACACATGCAGGCAATACACTCATACACATAAAATAATAATAAAATATTTTCTAAAAAATTAGTAGCAACTAGACAAATTCATTCATTCAGCAGAAATGTACTGAGGGCCTTCTGTGTGCCATGCATTGTCCTAGGAACTGAGCTTATATCTGTGAACAAAACCAAAGAAGATTGAGACAGACAATAAATACACAAAGTGAATTATACAGTGTGTTTAAAGGAACTGAGTATTGTGGTAGAGTAGCAGAGAGGGGGAAACTGGGATGTGGCAGGGTGTCGGGGGTGATTTTTAGTATTGTGGTCAAGGAAATCCTCATAGAGTTGGGGACTTTTAAACAGACTTGATGGAGATAGAGGATGTAAATTTGAATCTAGATCTCTATTACAAGTAGGGGTAGAGAAAGGAAGGGGGTTCTAGAGCCCAAGGGAGATCAGAAAAAAAAAAAAAAGCCATGGGGACACACGGAGGAAGTGACCCCTGGGGAGAAACTGGGGCATGAGGATCCCCAGGTGACTTCTCAGAGAAGCCTCGCGTGGGCTTGAAGGCAGGTAAAAGTCTAGAGTTGGTGCTTTGTGCGTTGAAAGAGTGTGTGTTTGGGGCTGTCACTCAGCAACCTGGCCCCTGAAGCATGAAAGTTTCGATAACATGACTGAAAAGATGGAAACTTTGGGCTCCTTTCCTCTCAGACTTTTGAGGGGGTTTTTGAGGGGTTGTATTTTAATAGTCCTATGATTAGAGGCATTGAGTAGGCGGGGGTCCCTTGAGGCTAAAGGGTAAGGAGGTCCCTGAAAAAAGGGGCAAGTAGACACTAATCATCAGTTCCCACCCCACCCCAGGTCTGGCCTGTCTCCACATAGCCACCTTGCAGAAGAACCAGCCACTCATAGAATTGCTGCTTCAGAATGGAGCTGACATTGATGCGCAGGTGAGACCACCAATCAGGGTGCTGCCTGGCCCTACCTACCACCTGCCAGCATCTTGTTCTGCTGAAGGACCCTTGTATCAGACATGGTGAAATCCCATCTCTACTGCCCAGACCCAGCACACTGTCTCTTGAGATTCATGACTGACATCCTTATTCCTCTCCAGGAGGGGACCAGTGGGAAGACTGCATTGCATCTGGCTGTGGAAACCCAGGAACGCAACCTGGTGCAGTTCCTGCTCCAGGCTGGTGCCAGGGTAGATGCCCGCATGCTCAACGGGTGCACACCCCTGCACCTGGCAGCTGGCCGGGGCCTCAACAGCATCTCATCCACTCTGTGTGAGGCTGGTGCAGACTCCTTGCTGCTGAACGTGGAAGATGAGACACCCCAGGACCTGGCTGAGGATGTAAGAGGCCGATGCTCTGCTCTGCAGGGCCTCCCACCCCCATGGCATAATTAGGTGCTTTCATTAGCTAAAAGAACCAGGAGTTAACAATGCTAGGGTCAGGCTGGGGACATAAGTCAGTTGACAGAGTACTTGCCTAGCATGCAAGAGGCCCTGGGTTCAATCCCCAGCACCACATAAACTGGTTGTGGTAGCATATACCTGTAATTCCAGCACTTGGGAAATAGAGGCAGAAGGATCAGAAAGGTCTTCCTCACCTACATAGCAAGTTCAAAGCCAACCTGCTCTACATGAGACCCTGCCTCAACCCCTTCCCTCACAAGAAAGGGAGGCTGGGGACTAGAGAGATAGCTCAGTGTTTAAGAACACTGGATGCTCTTGCAGAGGACCTGGAAGTTCCCAGCACCCACATGGTGGCTAACAGTGGCCCATAACTCCAGTTCCAGGTGAGCCAACATCCTCTTCCACTGTGGGCATTGTACAATACAGGTGTACTTACATACAAAACACTCATACACATAAAAAAAAATAATCGGCCAGGAGTGGTGGTGTACACCTTTAATCCTAGCACTTGGGAGGCAGAGGCAGGTGGATCTCTGTGAGTTCAAGGCCAGCCTGGTCTACATAGTGAGTTCCAGGACAGCTGGAGCTACAGGGAGACCCTCTCTCAAAAAGACCAAAATAATAATAATAATAATAATCAAAAAGATTATTTTAAAAGGGCTGAGGTAGGGAGCTGGAATGATTGCTCAATGGTTAAGAACACTGGCTGTTCTTGCAGAGGACCTAGGTTTGATTACCAGCACCTACTCGGTGGCTAACAACCATCTGTAACTCCAGTTCCAGGGGATCTGATGCCCTCTTACCTCCTCAGGCATTGCACAACACGAGTACACTTACATACATGGAAGCAATACACTTATACATGTAAAATAAAAATATTAAAAATTTAAGCCAGGCATGGTGGCGCATACCTTTGATCCCAGCACTTGAGAGGCAGAGGCAGGCAGCTCTCTGTGAGTTCAAGGCCAGCCTGGTCTACATAGTGAGTAACAGGACAGCTGGGGTTACAGGGAGACCCTGTCTCAAAAAGACCAAATAAATAAATAAATAAATAAATAAAATATTTAAATTAAGGGACTGGAGAGATGGCTCAGTGGTTAAGAACCCTGGTTGTGTTAAAAACACTGGTTGTTCCTGCAGAAGATCTGGGTTCAAATCCCAGCACCCACATGGCAGCTAACAACTATCCATAACTCCAGTCCCAGGGGATCCGACAGCCTCTTCTGACCTCCGTGGGCATTGCACGGCACGGGTGCACTTACCTACATGCAGGCAATATACGCATGCACATAAGATTAAAAAAAAATTTTTAATTTAAAAAAAAGGTCTTGAGGTAGAACCAGGACTGCATCTTACCAACTGGTCTCTGCCCTACTTTCTTTTACTTTCTACATTTCTTTAGTTGGTCAGGACCAGGGAGCTCAAACATGGACTCGTGTTTGAATTAGGAGTGAATTAGTGAAGCTAATCAGGTAGAAGACAATGCTATGGTGAGGCCTGTGAGGAATTGAAGAGCTATACCTCAGTATCTGCGTTTGGCCTACAGCATACGAATGTATAACTGGTGTTTCCAGGTCTTAGACTTTTTTTTTTTAAAAGAGGTAAAACTCACATTTTCTGTACATCCTTTTTTTTTTTTTTTTTTTTTTTTGAGACAGGGTCTCCCTGTAGCCCCAGCTGTCCTGGAACTCACTGTGTAGATCAGGCTGGCCTTGAACTCACAGAGATCAAATGTTCACATACAAAAAAAAAATATTCAGGCTGGTTATAGTGATAGGGAAGCAGAAGCAGGTGAATCTCTACTGAGTTCAAGGCTGGTCTACATAACAAGTTGGGGCTACAAAGGGAGACTTTGCCTCAAACCCAAAACCAAAAATGTTCAAAGCATTTTATTCTTACCCTTCCCTATGCCCCACAATAGCAACAAAAAAATAGGCCCGTAGTTCCCTCCCCACTCAGATATTCTGCATTATTTTAGAGGAGAGCTTATGTAAAGCTTTGGGGTTCTGCCATACTCAGATTGCCAGATCTGAGGAGTTACTATCACTGTTTCCTGCTGTTTTTCAGCTCAGGTGGGATGGGAGCAGCCTGGCAGGTTTCCCAGGGCCTTCCTGCCTTCTCCTTTGGCCTGACCCTGTTACTCTCTTCCATTTCTCAGCTCCTTTCTTACTTGCCATTCGATGACCTGAAGATTTCGGGGAAGCCACTGCTGTGTACTGACTGAAACCACGACAGGGTCTGGGGCCCTGGGATGGGGGACTCTACCTCTTCCCAGGAAGCTAGAGCCACAGCTACTGCAGTTTGGGCCTGAGCAATGTGCCCCTCTGCTAAGGCCAGAGCCTGGGGCCAATGTAGTCCTGAGCTGAGGAGGAATTGCAAATGAGAAAGAGCCAGTCTGGAAGGAAGAGCTTCACAGGTGGACTGGATGGAGTTCTTGCAAGACCCTCAAAGCCCCAGGTATCCTGGGTGAAACCTAATTGCTTCTGTTGAAGACAGCAGGGGCTGAAACTGTCAGTCAGTAGGAAAACAGATGATCTTGAACGCAAAGACTGAAATAGGAACAAACAGAGCCCTGAGGGTTCTCACCTAGAACCTGTGTGTATGTGTGTGTGTGTGTGTGTGTGTGTGTGTGTGTGTGTGCACACATGGGACTATTGAACCTAGAGCCTCACACATGCAAGGAAAGTGCTCTACCACTGAGCTCTATCCCCCATCCTCCTTTTACTTTTTGTGACAGGGTCTCACTAAATTGCCTGGGATGGCCTGGAACTCACTCTGTTGCCCAGATAGGCCTTGAACGTGAAATCCTCCCATCACAGCCTGCTAAGTAGCTGGGATTACAGGCCTGGTAGCAGCAGGCCTGGAAAAACACTCTTCTCTAGACTTCATACACAAGGCTCCAAACTGAGCTTTTGGACAAAGATGCTTCAGTAACATGACACTAAAATGGAAGGAAGAAACTTTTCAAGTGCCTCCCTTCTAGAGTTGTATGCATAGGAAGACCTGTCCTGTGACCCCAAGGTACAGGCAGAGAGAAGGAAACTGGTCCCTGAGCAATGGAGAGACTCACTGAATAGGAGGGCTCAGAGTCCTCAGGCCCATTTCCTACCAGCACAGACCTTTATCCTCCATGTGGAAACGCCCAGACATGGAGTGGGGAGGAGGAATATGAAGATACCAGTCCCTGGAGACCACCATCTGGGAGGAGCCCAGGGACCCTGGGCACAAGAGAGCTACAACTCTACTTTTTTTTTTCTCCTCTGACTCCACACACTGAGGGTCCTGCTAGGTCAGGCTTAGACTGCCACAGAAAACAAGGAGGAATAAACCAACATGACTTCTGATGCTTAGAGCTTAGAAGATCTAAGTTTGTCTTGTGACACAGCCATTAAAATTATAAATATCCAAATGTGTGGTTACAAGTTTCGATGGGTGCTGTGAAGTGAAAGACTATGGGGAAGGAGGACATTGAAGTGGGAAGTGGGTCGAGGACCATTCTTTGGGTGGCCCGGGGAAGCTTCAAGGAGTGTCATCTCTGTTGGGACATAGGATAAGCAAAGAATGAGGCAAAGCATGGGGAAAGGCCTCTGGTGTATTAGAGGAACTGAGAGCCGACCAGCAGGGCTCTACAGGGTCGGGTGAGTGGGCGGGGAGAATGAGCCAGGTCATGCACAGCTCGAAGGTCACGGGAACTATGAGAACGGTCTCGGGCCCAACCGAAAAGAAAAAAAAAAAAAAAAAAGGAAGGAGACGTTTGTCACAAAATGAAAGAACATAAGAGGAAGCGCTTGGGCCACAGAGGCTCAAGTCTGGTCCATAGGTGGCCATGATCGCCATGTCTGGGGTGGCTGCCCAGCGGGAGGGTGTCCCATCCTGGGGTACCACTCTCCCCCCACAGCTGGGTGCTCCAGCAGCCTGGCCGCGGGAACCCGGCCTGGTCTGCCTCCAGGCCGCGCGGGGCGCTGTGGCCCGGAGATTGCCCAGTCACTGTGTCGTCGCGGCTGGGGGTGGAGGGCAGCCGCCCGGAGGGAGGCGGGAAGAGCGCGGCACTTCCGCTGGCCGCTGGCTCGCTGGCTGCTGGAGCGGGCGGAGGTGGGAGCGGAGGGAGTGCGCGGCCCGGGGACTCGCATTCCCCGGTCCCCCCTCCGCCCCACGCGGCACGACCATGGACACCAGGTGGGGGGCTAGGGCAGCCATGGCCCACGTGACCGAGACCCCGGGGCCACGTGATCGCCGGGGCTCGGGAGACCGGGTGGGGTCCTCCCCCCGGAGCTGCCCACCAGCGTGGAGCCCGGCAGGGACGAGGGCTCAGCGAGTGGCCCTTGTGCTCTCCGGGGGACTTCGAGAGTGTCGCGGAGGGGATTGGGGGCTGTGGCGCTGGGGAGGGAGAGGGGGAGGGGGAGAGGACCTCGCCTCTGGCTGGAGCTGCCCGCTCACGCTGGCGGGAACAGAGGGGATCTATGTGGCTGGACAGACGGGGCCGTCCCCGGGAAGGGAGGAGGCTCTGCCTGGCCCGCGCCAAACCCCCCGGTAGAAAAAGAGAGAGGCTCTTTGTACGTCCCGCTGGGCTGCAGCGGAGGGGGCGGGGAGGAGACTGGGCACTTCCCTAGGACTGTCCCCTCCTGCGGGCCGAGAGCCTGAAGAGCTGCATCCTAACCCCTGCTTCGGCTGTCCCAGCAGATGGTGGGCAGTGGTGGTGCTCGCCGCGCTCCCCTCCCTGGGGGCAGGTGGGGAGTCACCCGAAGCCCCTCCGCAGTCTTGGACACAGCTGTGGTTCTTCCGCTTTTTGGTGAATGCTGCTGGCTATGCCAGCTTTATGGTACCTGGCTACCTTCTGGTGCAGTACTTAAGACGGAAGAACTACCTGGAAACAGGTATGTGGCCAAAGGGTGGGGAAGTCCGGTTGGCGCGGTTTCAAAGCCGAATGTGACTTGGAACGGGAGGGAGGCCAGCTGGGGTAGGCTGGATGCTCAGGCCAGGGAGACTTGGGGCTTGACTTTGTGTGCCTTTTTCAGGCAGGGGTCTTTGCTTCCCCTTGGTTAAAGCCTGTGTCTTTGGCAATGAGCCCAAGGCTTCAGATGAGGTGACCCTGACTCCCCGGACAGAAACAGCAGAGACCAGCCCCTCTTGGCAAGCCCTGAAGCTGGTCTTCTGTGCCTCGGGGCTCCAGGTAGGTAGGCAGGCTGTTTCCTTTCCTGGGATGGGTATAGATGGGCAGGTACTCTATGAAACCTGCTTTCCTTGTGCCTACATCAAAACTTTGCTCGTTGGGAAGTTTCATGTCCTTCTCCTCCCTAGGGGATGCAGCCCCATCCTGGAATCCTGAAGGAAGTGCTCTTTTTTTTCCTCCTGTCCTTTCCTTGTCCAACACCTGGACTGAAAGTTAACTGTACACTATTATTTAATGGTGTCTAGGAAGGAAGAGGGCCTGTCTCATGCCCACTTTTCTGTGACTTCTGTGTTCTTAACACTGCTCTCTGTACTGAATGTCTTGTATATAATCCTGCTGGTAAAATTTGGGGAAAGGCCAAACATGATGGCACAGGCTGTCACCCCATGTTCTCAAGAGGCTGAAGCAGAAGGAGCCAAAGTTCAAGGCCTGCCTGGACAATTTAGTGATACCATGTGTAAAAACATAAAATGGGATGTTGCATAGCATGCACAAAGCTTTAGGTTCAATCCCTAGTACCACACACGGACACACATAAAGTTTCAGTACGACCTGTGTGAGAAGTGTGTCTCCAGGAATTCAGAGAGGATACTAAGCCACCTTGGACACTGTTGAGCTGCAGGTGTCCAGCCTCCCTGAACTGGTTCTGAGTAGATAGGGAAACAGTTTGCATGGAGCCAGCTATAGTGTACCCATACTGTGCAGGCAGACAAGGCCTGGTCCTAAAGTGTTACTGTGTTTTCACTAGATTCCCTACTAGGTAAATCCAAGCTTAGGAAGGAAAGCTCAGAGGATTCAAAACCCATGCTGTTCAAATCCTATGCAACCATCCTATGGAAGAGGGAAATTGAAGCTTCTTACTTTTCCTTCATTACTCACCATTTTCCACCCCCCACCCCACCCCCAGGTATCCTATCTGACTTGGGGTGTACTGCAGGAAAGAGTGATGACCCGCAGCTATGGGGCCACAGCCACATCACCTGGTGAGCGCTTCACAGACTCCCAGTTCCTGGTGCTAATGAACCGTGTGCTGGCACTGCTCGTGGCTGGCCTCTACTGTGTCCTCTGCAAGCAACCTCGACATGGGGCACCCATGTACCGGTACTCCTTTGCCAGTCTGTCAAATGTGCTCAGCAGCTGGTGCCAATATGAAGCACTCAAGTTTGTCAGCTTCCCCACCCAGGTGCTGGCCAAGGCCTCCAAGGTAATTCCTGTCATGCTGATGGGCAAGCTGGTGTCTCGACGCAGCTACGAGCACTGGGAATACCTGACTGCTGGCCTCATCTCCATTGGGGTCAGCATGTTTCTGCTGTCTAGTGGACCAGAGCCCCGCAGCTCCCCAGCCACCACACTGTCCGGCCTCCTTTTACTGGCAGGCTACATCGCATTTGACAGCTTCACCTCGAACTGGCAGGATGCTCTGTTTGCTTATAAGATGTCATCTGTGCAGATGATGTTTGGGGTCAATTTATTCTCCTGCCTCTTCACAGTAGGCTCACTACTGGAGCAGGGAGCCTTACTGGAGGGGACCCGCTTCATGGGACGACACAGCGAGTTTGCTGCCCATGCCCTCCTCCTCTCCATCTGCTCTGCCTGTGGCCAGCTCTTCATTTTCTATACCATTGGGCAATTTGGGGCTGCTGTCTTCACCATCATCATGACTCTCCGTCAGGCCATTGCCATCCTCCTCTCCTGCCTCCTCTACGGTCACACTGTCACTGTGGTGGGAGGACTGGGAGTGGCTGTGGTCTTTGCTGCCCTCCTGCTCAGAGTCTATGCTCGGGGCCGCCTCAAGCAGCGGGGCAAGAAGGCTGTGCCCACTGAGCCCCCTGTGCAGAAGGTATGAGGTGTGGCCTTTGTAGCTTCTCAGAGGCTCCAGTTCAGAGGGCAAAAAGTGCTATTTCCTCAGTATCACTGACCAACCCTACAGTGGGGCTTGGAGGCAGCCCTACCTTTTGCCTTAAGAGCCCCACTCCTCCAATAGGCTGGTTCTTTTGCACCCCAGGATGGAGGTGACACTAGGGAGGCAGCGGTACTTCACACACTTGACATGGTGGTACTGCCACCGACACCTCACCTGTGTCCCCTTACCCTGAATTCACCCTCAAGACTATCAGGTAACTGCAGTCTTGGGGAAGAGAAGCACAGTGTTCATAAAGTCCCCATGCTGGTTCCCGGGGCTAGTGGTGATCTGTGCCAAGACAACACACCACAATTTCCAAGGGCCTAGGCTCTGTCCCAAGAGCCACTTGCAGGTTTTGATACTTTGGAAATGCCACCTTTTGCTTTTATTAAAACTGCTGCAGTGGACTTGGCCCTGTGTTTTCTGAGTTCAAAAACAGGCAAGTGCCTTTAGTTAACTTAAATCTTGCAGTGTAACCAGCATCCTGGGGTATAGTGGAGTAGTGTATCCATTTAACAAGGGAGAGCAGAACTGTATAAAACTGCATCTTCTTTATTTTGCATACTTTTAATTTCAAAACAAAATAAAAACAAAAAAACCACAATACACAACACCCAACCCTGCTATTTAGTGAGGGAGGGAATTTTCCTGCCTTAAGACACCAACAAAGACAGGAGAGTAACCACTAAGACAGCAGCAGAGAGGCGGGTGGGTCAGGCTGCTGGGGAGCCGCTCAAAGGAGGACTATACAAGGGGCAGGACTTCCAGGTGAGAACTCTAATCTACTTCTTCCATGCGAGATGCATCCTCATCACCCTCAAGCGGGGGGATCTCATCAGGAACAGCAGCACTGGGCTCCTCTGCTGCCACCTCATCTTCATCAATGCCTACAAAGATAATGAAAATTGGACCCGTGGCATCAAGTTGAGAGATCAGCCAGTTAGTTCCACAGTGTGCCATCCACACAAGACTTCTGCTTACCCAGGCCTAGTTTGATCATGCGGTAGATGCGGTTGGAGTGGGTCTGGGGATCCTCAAGGGAGAAACCAGAGGACAGCAGAGCAGTTTCAAACAGCAGCACCACCAGGTCTTTGACAGCCTTGTCATTTTTGTCAGCCTCGGCCTTCTGCCGTAGGGTCTCCACGATGGGGTGGTCAGGGTTGATCTCCAGGTGTTTTTTGGCCATCATGTAGCCCATTGTAGAATTGTCTCGAAGTGCCTGTGCCTTCATGATCCGCTCCATGTTGGCTGTCCAGCCATAGGTGCTGGTCACAATGCAGCAGGGCGAAGACACAAGCCTATTGGAGATTGTCACCTTCTCAACCTTCTTATCCAAGATTTCCTTGGCCTTGCTCTCTTCCATTTTCTTCTTCTCCTCCTCATCCTCTGGAAGTTCCAGGCCCTCCTTGGTCACAGAGACCAGGCTCTTCCCATCAAACTCCTTCAGCTGCTGCACGCAGTACTCATCAATAGGCTCAGTCATATATACCACTTCAAAGCCCCGCTTCCGCACACGCTCCACAAAGGCAGAGTTGGCCACCTGCTCTTTGCTCTCACCTGTAGGGTTGGTTAGGTAGAACCTCAATGACCAAAAATGGCTAGAGCACTCCCACTCCCTGACGTTGTGTCCCTCCTTCCATTTCCCTCTCCCCTAGGTCAGCTTTCATCCAACCCAAGCTCCAACACACCAGTGATGTAGTAGATGGACTTCTGTGTCTCCTTCATGCGAGACACGTATTCTGACAGGGAAGTCATCTCATCTCCAGACTGAGAGGTGTGATAGCGCAGTAACTCGGAGAGGCGTCGCCGGTTGGTAGAGTCTTCATGGATTCCAAGCTTTATGGGAAGGGAGAGGAAAAATCCAATTGATAACTAGAAAATTGAATCCTTAGGCAGAGCAGTGACGGGAAGTAAGCACTTGCCCCCTTCCCCTTACCTTTAGATTCTTAGAGAATGCCTCATAGAATTTCTTGTAGTTCTCTTTGTCTTCTGCCAGTTCAGAGAAGAGCTCAAGGCACTTCTTCACAATGTTTTTGCGGATAACTTTCAGGATTTTACTCTGCTGGAGCATTTCCCGGGAGATGTTCAGGGGTAGATCCTCAGAGTCAACCACACCACGGATAAAATCTACAGTCACCAAGGCAGAAATTTCACTTAGGAAAATGTACCAGACATGGTCTGTCACACCCAGACTCAACAAAAGGTCTTTTTGCACCCAGCAAGTGAAGGTTTAGGAAGCATCACCTGGACTAAAGACTCGTCTCAGACAATTACTGAAAACCTAAAAGTTTACCTATATCCCATTAGGCCCATGAGATACTCACTCAGATACTCTGGTATCAACTCATCACAGCTGTCCATGATGAACACACGGCGGACATAGAGTTTGATGTTGTTCTTTTTCTTCTTGTTCTCAAAGAGGTCAAAGGGAGCTCGCCGAGGGATAAAGAGCAATGCCCTGAATTCCAGCTGACCTTCAACAGAGAAGTGCTGAAAGACACCCATTTAAGTCCCATGTTAAGCATCTGCCACAGAACAATGCCACACCCTTTACTTAAAGCTTTTATGGACAGAGTAGGTACTGTGAGCACCTTACAGCCCCAATGCCAAGTAAATCTAGAATGCTTGAAGTGTCCAACCAACTCCTGGCTGTCAGTGACCACCAGCTAGATTCCCACCAGAAGGGAAAGTATAATCACTGGAAGCACAGAACCTCTCTCCCCTGAGGTAGTTCCAGGTATGAAGTCACGTGGCCCCGAGATTGTCAGATCTCAGCTACAACCAGTCCAGCAAGTCCTTGTTCTACTCTCCCACCCATAGGACCATTTCTACCTGACCCTCCAGTTTAGACAACATAGATTTCTCACCTTGACTGCCAAGTGGTCTTCCCAATCATTGGTAAGGCTCTTATAGAATTCACCGTATTCCTCCTGAGTGATATCATCTGGGTTTCTGGTCCAAATGGGTTTAGTCTTGTTCAGTTCTTCCTGATCAATGTATTTCTCCTTGATCTTCTTGGTTTTCTTCTTCTTATCTTTGCCACTGTCATCTTCCTCATCTGACCCCACATCTTCAATCTTGGGCTTCTCCTCATCGTCCTTATCTTCCTCCTCTTTCTCACCTTTCTCTTCCTCTGCCTCATCATCACTGATCTCCTTCTCCCGTTCCTTCTCCAACTAAAGTACCAAATAAGAAATAAATCTTGGAGAACTCAATACCAGGAAAGCAAAGCCTAAAGCCATGAGCCACCAGAACAAAAGCCACTGAGCATACTCAAGGGCCTACCAGCCCATACTCACATAGAGAGTGATGGGATAGCCTATGAACTGTGAGTGCTTCTTCACCACTTCCTTGACCCTCCTCTCCTCCAAGTACTCTGTCTGGTCTTCTTTGAGGTGAAGGATCACTTTGGTGCCCCGACCAATAGGCTCACCTGGAGGCAGCAGTATCATGAAGACATGAAACAGGGATATTCAGCTAAGGTACTTGGGCTAAAGTAAAGAACTGCTTTACAAATAAAATACTCAAGGCCTATTATCAGAGTTCCACCAACCACAATGTGCAGAGCCAACTCACCATGGTCTGCGCGTACAGTGAAGGATCCACCAGCAGAGGACTCCCAGGCATACTGCTCATCATCGTTGTGCTTTGTGATAACAACCACTTTCTCTGCCACCAGATAGGCAGAATAGAATCCAACACCAAACTGCCCAATCATGGAGATGTCTGCACCAGCCTGCCAAAGGGTTTTGAAAGTTAATCGAAGGGCCAAGTGAGATAGATGAGCAGGTTAAGAACCTGCTGAGCAAGCCCAACAACACTGAGTTCAATCTCCAGAACCCACGGGAATGAGAACCAATGCTGATCATGACCTCTACATGTGTGCCATAGCACACACCCCCATACGTACACACAATAGTCAATACATTTTTGAATCAGCAAGAGAATGGTGTGGATGACAGGCTCATACCTGGAGAGCCTCCATGAAAGCCTTAGTGCCAGACTTAGCAATGGTTCCCAAATTATTTATGAGGTCAGCCTTGGTCATGCCAATGCCTGTGTCCACCAGAGTCAGGGTGCGTTCCTGAGGGTTGGGGATGATGTCAATTTTCAGCTCTTTACCGCTGTCCAATTTGGAAGGGTCTGTCAGGCTCTCATAGCGAATCTTGTCCAAGGCCTGTAAATACAGCCATCATCATCACATTATTCCACTTATACAGACTGTCCCTTCCCTTTCAAACTTGAGGGACATAGAATAAGGCGAATTTTGAGACCAACTACTGTTTATCCCTCCCACCAAATTTCAATCTACCTTAAAAACACAATGAAAAACACTACTCACATCAGAAGCATTAGAGATCAACTCCCGAAGAAAAATTTCCTTGTTTGAATAGAAAGTATTGATGATAAGGGACATGAGCTGAGCAATTTCTGCCTGAAAAGCAAAGGTCTCCACCTCCTCCTCTCCATGGTGCACTTCCTCAGGCATCTACGAATGAAAAGACCAAAAATTACAGAGGATGATGACCTCCATTTTAAAACCCTAAATCAGGATTAAGACCTTATCAGATTCAGTTCAAACTGCTTTGAGCTGGATACTATCCAATCCCAAAAGATGAAAGCCACCATTTCTTCACAAACACAAGCTACACAGTGAACAACCAAATCAAGAGGAGTGGAAAATTCCTACAGCACGCACCGTTCATCCAATCGCAAAGTCAGACTTCGTAAAATGGTGCTAGAGGAGAGCTAAGTCACCAGCAACCTCAGGACCTCTCAGTATAACTTAGTAAAATTTCAGAATGTCAGTGAGATAGTTAACTATATTATTAATCGCCCTCTCCCCCATTAACTAGAACTTTTTCTCTACTTGTGGGAAAAAATTAACAGAGGCAATTTCTATGTGCCGCACCCCTTGGGCCATCAGGAGTTTATCGAATGAGTGCAGTCTTCTACCCAGTAGTGGAAACGACCCGAGGTCACAGGTGGAGGTGCCCAAGGGGCAATTAAATCAGGACAAAGAGCCGGTGAGGTCCAACCTCCACCATGACCCCTCCTCACTGTGCAGATTTGGACAGCACGGAACACGAGTAAAATGGTGGCCCAAGCTGCCCCGCCGACCCTCGTCCCTGCCGGACATGCGTCGGCAGGAGCTGCACGAGGAGGGGACGCTATCATCATATACCCTCCCACCGCCCCAGCATCCGGGCACTGGGGCGGGGCGCCTGGCTCCGGAAGCTTCCAGAACAATCTGAACTGTCGGGGAGGGGAGGAGAGGGGGAGGGCCCCATGAGTCTTTCCCCAGCCTGCCCCCTCCTCCCCGACTCCACCTCCTGCACTGGAACCACAGGAAAATTCTGGAATGAGTAAAATACAGAGGGGGGCAGCACGCCTAAGGCGATCTGCACAACCGTAACAAAAGCGCCCCTGAGGCCGTCGTGTGGCACAGGTAGCCGGGCGGCAGCTCCCCGCCGTGCTGAGTCACCCACGGCGCGCACCGCGCCATCCCGCGGACCCTCCGGCCCCCGTAGCCGCGCCCGGAAGTGGAGGACAAACATGGCAGCGTCCCGGGCCGGCACGGACACCACGTGTCGCTGCCCCCCGCACCTAGTATCCGAGGGGAGCCCACCCATCCCGGAGGAGTCCTGCCACGCGAAGGCCCGGAACCCGCCGCCCCGACACTCGCCGGGGACGTCGCCCCACAGGCAGATCAGGCCCGGCGGTGGCCTGGGAAGACCACAGACTAAACCACAAAAAGAGACCGAACGACAGAAGCCCCCGAGGGTACCGCGGCCTTACCTTGAAGGGAAAGCGTGAAGTCGTACAGAGCAGGGTGGGCCCGGACCGTGTCCGACTTGCACGCGGCACCCAGGCTGCGGGGGTGATTCAAGAGAGCTCCCGCCCGCCCCCGGCCGCCCTATATAAGGCGGAGCACAGCCAGGGCCCCCTCCCCCGGATCCTTCCGCCTTAAAGGAGTGGTTGTCAGCCCCGCACCTGCCGCCGCCCGCCCACCTTGACGTCATGGTAGGACATGGGGAGGGGGCGGGGAGCAGCCTGTGACTGCCATGGGCTTGTTCCAGGCGCCTTTGCGCCGGTTCGCAGCTCCCTCTGCGCGTCCAGCACATGACCTCTAGATTAGGGACGCGGAGTGCGCGTAGACTACACACGATGTGTCCACGGGCGAGCCTCCTACTGGCTCCCCCAGACCACCCCAGACCCCTGAGATAAATGTCTCCAACTCCCAAGGGTCCAGTCCTCAAGGGAACACCTGCAAAGAGGGCGGGGGTGGCCATCTCGGCTACACTTCGCGACCCCATCTTCCTAGAGTGTGCCCCACAAATCGCACATCGAGGCTGTGCAGATGTGGAATTTGGGGTTTAATTTTAGGCAGTCCCCGATCGCCGCCCTCCCAGACCTGGGAATTGGGGGCTGGGGGCAGCACCAGGCGGGGCGTAGCTCCTGGGGGAGGGGCGCGAGTCTGGGCTGGCGGGGACTCTTTGCGGCGGAAGGAGCTGCAAGCGGCGGTGCTGCGGTCCTTCCAGCAGTTTCCAGGCCTGTCTTGGCCGACTCAGTCCCCTCCCCACCCCAGGCTCCACCTCTCTCGCTGCGGCGGGGCCAGAGTCATCTGCACCCCTTTGGCTTGTCTAGGGTTCTGCCCCGTCCTAGGTGAAGAGGATGGGTTGCATTGCAGACCTTGTCTGCACGTGTTGCATTGCCTTTGGGGTATAGCACACATAGGGAAGGATCGGCTGAGCCGAATCAGTCATAGCGCAAGAGAGTGACTGCGGACCCCATTCAGTGTGCCGAGATAGGGAATGGTACCGAACACAGCACCCCTACCCCCAGCCTCTCGGGCCGCCCACGGACGCGGCGCTCAGGGACACGCGCCCTCCGGGAGCACATCAAGCTGTTTCTGAAGCTGGTTTCGTTTTTCTCGACCTCTTCCTCTTGCAGCTGCTTGGACCTAGGGAGGAGGAGGGCCTCATCTTTTCAGATCTGCAAGATCAAGCGCCAGAAATCCGCATGAACATGGTGGTTCCAGGCTGGCTGGCTCCAGGCAGCCAGAACCAAGTTGCCTCCCCTTCAGCGTTGGCGCCAGTGCCCAAGGCTGTGCCTGCCGACCGAGCTGGCCTGCCATGCCTAGCCCAGTTCTGCCTCCTCTGCTTGACCTCCAGCTGGCGGCTTCTGGAAACCTGATGCACTGATGGCCCCTCTGAGAGAGAATGGCCACCAGGTGCTCTGTAAATGTTCATCTCCTTAGTCCACTCAGGCCAGTCCTAGAATAGTTGGGAAGGGGGGGAATCCCACACAGAACCCCCCTCACACCTTCCCAAGGCTTACATAGAGCCCACCTTCCCTAATGTTGCCTTGGTTGTTGAAGTCCAGAGAACAACGCGAGCCTTTCTCTTGCTCCTCTGTCCACTTCATCTGTCGTCATCACCCCAGCCTTCTCTTAGCCTCTCTTTCAATTTATGTCAGCCTCCCATAGCTGGGCAGTCTTTCAGTATAGAGACGCAGGGTACCATTCTGATCAAAATCTCAAACCAGGAGCATCATTCCTCTCTATGTAAGAGGTACCTGGGTATTTATGCAAAAGGGTTCCCTGGGCTGGGCATTTAGCTTAGGGGTACAGGGTTTGCTAGCACAAGGCCCTGAGTTCCACAGTTCACAAACAGGTCTCATAGTCTCTCTCTGTCCTCTGAGCAGGTGGAAGAGAATCTGCACGTTTTATAAACAGGAAAATGAATGATCCAGTGACTATTAGGGTCACTCAGCCCAGAGACCTTCCTGTTCTGGAAGTGGAATGGGAGCAGGGACATCGTTTCCCTGTCCAGGACTCAAGTCCAGATCAGACCAGGAGTCAGTCCTATGCACGGGTTTCCCCTTTACTGACCCCCAGCAGTGTCAGGACCATGGCTCCTCAGAGGCTTCCTGAGGCGGTCTTAACTGGGGAAAGGTCATGGTGCTACACACCTATAATCCCAGCACACAGGCAGCTGATACAGAAAAGATTTAAATTCCAGGCCAACATGGGCTACAGAGTGAGACTCTCTTTCATCAGTGGATTAAATATAAAGAGGGAAAGACTCACATTTTGCACCAGCATAGGGATTCCACTTACCTTCCGGACTGTGGTAGAGCATGCCTGTCCCAGTGCTAGGGAGGCTAAGGCAGGAGGATGCCTGTAATTCCAGGGCCAGACTGGATTGTGTAGTGCCAGACCAGCCAGGAGTAAATAGCAATATCCTGTGTCAAAAAAAAAAAAAAAAGGAGGGCTGGGGTGGGCAAGATGACTCAGCTGGTAAAAGTACTTGTTTTACAAGCCTGGCAACCTGAGTTGAACCTATGAGTTCAATACCCATATCCCATGGTGGAAGGAAAGAACCAACTCCTGAAAGTTGTCCTCAGACCTCTATATGTGAGCACTGATGCCCATATGCCCCCCACACACACAATAATTGTCTTAAAGGGCTTGTGAGATGACTCATTAGGTAAAGGCACTTTCTGTGCAAGTATGCAGATCTGAATTTAAACCCCAGAACCCACAGAAGGAAGGGGAGAACTGACTCCACAAAGTTGTCCTCTGACCTTCATATGTGCACTATGGCATGTACGGGCTACACATCATATATTTATTTTTTATTTTTTTTTTTTTTCTGAGACAAGGTTTCCCTGTAACTGGCCGGAAACTCTCTATGTAGGCTAGGCTAGCCTGCAACTCACAGTGATCTGCCTTCCTCTGCCTCCCATGTGCTGGGATTTTTTTTTAAAGGTGTACGCTAACACACCAGGCCTACAATAATTTTTAAAAATATTTTTATGCAACCAGGTGTGGTGGTGGCGCACGCCTTTAATCCCCAGCACTCAGGAGGCAGAGGCAGGCAGATCTCTGTGAGTTCTACAATAGCAAGTCCCAGGCCAGCCAGAGCTACATAATAATACCCTGTTTCAAAAGACAAAACAAAATTTAAGAACATTAAAAAACTAACTTACGAGAGATCTGGATTATCTTCTGTTAAATTATTTAGAGATCCACCTGCCTCTGTCTCCCAAGTGCTGGGATTAAAGGCATGTGCCACCACACCCAGCTAAAAATAAAATATTTTTATGCATGTGTGTGAATGTATGTCACGTGTATGTGTGTGTGTGTGTGTGTGTGTGTGTGTGCACGCACAGACCAAAGTGCTTTAGATCCCCTGGAGTTGGAGTAACAGGCAGTTGTGAGCCTCCTGATGTGGGTGCTGGAAACCAAACTTGTGTCCTCTAAAAGTACATGCTCTTAATCACTGAGCAATCTTCCCAGCCTCCTAAAATAGTGTTTTCCTTTTATTTTGCTTTGCTTTTTGTTTTTTTGTTGTTGTTGTTGTTGTTTGTTTTTTGTTTGTTTTTGAGACATGTTTTTGAGACAGAGTTTCCCTGTGGCCCCAGCTGACCTGGAACTCAGTATGTAGACCAGGTCTTGATCTCAGAGATGCCTGCTTCTGCCTCCTGAGTACTGGGATTAAAGGCGTGTACCCTATGCCCAGCAATGTTTTCTTTTTAAAAAGGAGGGATAGGGGTCTGGAGAGATGGCTCAGTGGTTCTTCCAGAGGACCCAGGTTCGATTTCCAGCACCCACAGGGTGACTAACAACCATCCAGTTACAGGGGACCCGACACCCTCTTCCGGCCTCTGAGGGCTTTGCACAGGCCAGGGCACAGCTCTGCTTCCTGGAAGGGGGAAAAGTTAGAAAACACCCAGAGACCAACAGAGGGGCCATAACTCAGGAACCCCTTCAGGAAGCAGCAAAAAGAGCTGGAAGTGACCCTGCTGGCAGGGACTCAGTTATGAAAGGCTGCAAATGCCATGCTGAATTCTAACCTGAAAGATGAGGAAAGGCACAGAAGGCCATCAAAGCCTTAAAACTGCAGAAACCTCCAGGTGCCTCATTCCCAGCAGCATCTGCAACCATCATTGTTCCCAAGACACTGTTTATCACTCATCAGAGCTGTTGGAGTGTGGCCAGCTGAAGCAGGTAGTAACAGGCCACAGCCCCAAGCTGCTGGGCTGCTGCTTGTTTTTCTATGACCTGTGGGCAAAGACTTAATTTTATATTTATTAGTGAATGGAAAAAAACATCAGAAAAATTAAATCAGTCTGCTTCACTGTCCCTCCCCTCCTCCCTTTTTTTCTTTCACTGTTAGCTGGTTTTCCATGGTTTCCCAGGCAACTCAAACTCCTGGGGTCCTCTCTCCTCTGCCTCCAGAATGCTAGGACTATAAGCAAATGCCACTATATACAAGTTAAAGATACTATTTTGGACTAGCCCCTTTTAAAAAATATTTTTATTTTATATGTATGAGTGTATTGCCTATATGTAGATAGGTGCAATGCCCACAGAAGTCAGAAGAGTGTGTCAGATTTCCCTGGAACTGGAGTTATGGATGGTTGTTAGCCACCATGTGGGTGCTGGGAATCAAACCTGGGTCCTCTGCAAGAGCAGCCAGTGCTCTTAACCACTGAGCTTTCTCTCCAGCCCCTATTCTTTTTTGAGACAGGGTCTCATTCTATAGCCCAGGTCTGTCCTGGAACTCACTTCATATCGCTCTTCCAGAGTGCTGTAGATCACAGGCATGATTAAGATAACAGCTATATGGTCTCTATCCAGAAACAAAAGCAGCCAAAGATAATATGTAAAACAAACAGGAGTTAACTGTTTCAATAAAACTTTATGGACATTGGGCTGGCTGTGTAGATCAGTAGTTAGAGGACTTGCCTAGCATGCTCAAGGCCCTGGGTTTGATCTACATTAAACAAATGAACTGATTTATTTTGCTTTTTTGAGACAGGGTCTCCTTGTATCCCCAGCTGGCCTAAAACTTGCTATATAAGAGGTTAGTTGTTGCTCTTCTAGAGGACCTGGATCCCAGCACCTACATTGGGTGGCTCACCATATCCTGTAA